TACCGGATCTTTATTATATATAATCCTAGTGTATTAATCAAGTAATCACATAATTAACATTAATGATTCTCTAGTAGAATGGCAACCAAAATAGTTCCTTCTATAATCACTTAGTTTATACTAACTATATATAACCTAATATCGAACGGACAGTTGAATGTGTGAATCTGCCCTAAGCCCACAACCAAACAAGGAACATGAAGTAAGTTGGAAGTCACACATTCCACTGCCTATCAGATATTATTTATATATAATTCTGATGTATAAACTAAGGAATAGTAGAATTAACCATTAAAGGTCCTTTATGTTATACTAGTTTGATAATAAGTATTAAACCTTTTGTAAATAAGTTCCTAGATCTACTTACTCTATTGTAAAACATTATTTTCAGTAATAATTGTTATTGTTTTCAGAAAGTTCTATAAAAAACTGTTTACTTTTAAAATAACGATGTGTATCATAGAAAATCCTATATTTTCTATAAAACCGATTTATAGTCTTAATCGTTCCAAGACCGAAAAGCACAAGTATAATTACTATACTTACTTTAATGATATCTAATTTTGTTGATAATTTAAACTGGCTGAAGACTTGTTTGCCCTGAAAACCTGATGCGATGATACTACCCTCCTATGATCACTTAATACATACGAGTTGTATATAACCGAGATCAAACAGACAGTTGAATGGGTGAATCTGCCCTAAGCCCACAACTAAACAAGGAACAGGAAGTAAGGCGGAAGTCACACATTCCACTATCTACCGTACTTCAATTTTATCTAACCCTGTTGTATATGCTGAGTAATCACATAGTTAGTATCTCTTGAGATTGTTTAAGAAAAAGTATATTACTACGTAAATATGTCGTTATTTTCTCCTTGTGAGTTCTTATGACCATACTAATTGATACGACGTGAATCGGACGCCAATATCGTTTATTACGTTTGTCACCCGCAGACCTGCCGGTCCAACTGTAGCTAACAGTAGAGGTGAGGGATTGTCGGTCCCATATAGATCTATACACAAACTCACGCTCTCCCTCCAGGAGACTATGGTTCATAAAGGTAGACTTCCACTTGTACTTAGGTAAGTACACGAAGACATGTCTCACAAACTAGATCAACGACTTGACAAGTAATAATGCGAAAACCTTTTTATAAATAACTGGTAATTTTGTAAAAAGATCCCATTGTTCCATAAACTATACTTATCATAGTTTATAAGTTTGTTTCCATGTTTTAACCTGGACTTTGTAAAATAGTTCATATGATCCATAAACTATACCTATTATAGTTTATAAGTTTATTTCCATGTTTTAACAAGTTTCACGTTTAAATACATACTGATGGTAAGAAAAACATAATAAGTAAATTATATTTTAAAACACAAAATTTCCTGTGTTTTACTTGTATTCTCCCACTAAAAACATTGAAAAAGCTTGGAAAAATATGGGGGTATGAACTCACCTTATGTAAGTGATTCGATTGAAGGCTCGATATAGGATGTTATTTCCACAAGTTAGCTCCCGTAACAAAATCTAGTGCTAATTAGCATTTTATGTAATATATATGTATACAATTAGTGTATATAGACATTAGAATGATAAGGAATTGGACTAATTTGTAAGTTCAACTTACAAATATGAGTGTTAGAAGCAAAATGGAAGGCTGCAAGGGGTTTACGGCTAGCCTGGGCGTTCACGGCCCAAGAAGACCTTGGTGTTCTTGGGTTTACGGTTGAGTGTTCTTGATGAAATGAAGAACACTTGAAGATTCAAGTGTTTTCTGCTCAAAGATATGAAGATTGGAAGGTGATTGCTTGATAAAGTGAAGAACACTTGGTATTCTTGGCAAGATCCTAAGAAGATTCAAAGGATTTGGATGATACTTGAGAGAGAACAAAGGGTTTTCGGTTGATGATCTTGAGAGAAAAGCTTGAGTTTTCGGCTAATAAGTGTAGATTGAAGGAAGAATCAGTCAAACACACACATATATATATATATATATTATATATATATATATATATATATATATAGATATATATATATATACACATAGGAGTTTTCGGCTGTAAACACTTCCTGAGGAGATAAGATCCTTGGGTTTGCGGCTGCGAGGGGAGTTCACGGATGTGAACTGTTTGCGGCCCTCTTTGGTTTGCGGCTCCCTTCGTTTGCGGTCCAAAGAGAAGAAAAGAAAAAGAAGAAGCAGCGAGGGTTTGTGCCTACGAAGGTCTTCGGTTTTTAGATGTTTCTACTTCTTAATTTAAACAACACTTTTACTAAGTGTTTAAATGTACCAAATATTAATTTAACTTTATTAAACTAACAAATCAATAAATTTGTCTTTAATTTGATATGATTGACTTGAGTTGACTTTTATTGACTTTTACACAATAGAAAATAACGGGGTGTCACATTATCCCACCGTTAAAGGGAATTTCGTCCCGAATTTAGCTTTATAAGCAGGACTTCAGGGGTTTTGCTCATCCGAATGATAAAATGTACACTCGTAGTTCTGGGCAGCTTTGTCCTGAAGTTCATAGTAGGATTCATACCTGGTCCATCTATCATTACCTCGTGTATACAAGTTGTATATAATTAAGATTAATAAGACGGTCGGATGTGCGACTCTGCCCCAAGTCCACAACCAGACAAGGAACAGGAGGTAGGGCGGAAGCACACATCCTAGGTCTATAGAATCTTAATTATATACCACTTTTACGTATACACTTAACAGTGATAAGTTAATCGTATTTGTCCCTAGCCTCTGTTCTTGAACTTGACTTGCTGCATTTGTGGTATTTCCAAAAAGGTCTGCTGGGAATACTTCGGGAAGTAACGGACTTTCAGAATATCCTTGGTGTTTTTCACTTTAAGTTTCTTGTCTACGGATAAAGCTAGGAAGACGTGGTACTCCTCGCATGGGTACTTCTGAGGTTTTGAAGCGAGAGACGATTCTGAGGTTTGTGTTGAGTTTGTCGTTATTGATTGTAATGATTTCGTTAGACGGTCGTTTAAGGCGAAGGGTCTTTTCGTGGCACAGGAAATTGGTATGGTGAGAACCAAACCAATCCATTTTTAAAGATGACATTAGAACTTCTTATCGCAACAGATGCTAAATTGATTTGAAAGATGTGATTGTTAGAACGCTGAATTATTCTATGTATATGTTTTCAGTTTTATCCTTGTCATTACTACTGCAAACATTTTGTACCGCATTTAACGAATATTAGCAGTACGAGTGTTTTGATAATTGAAAATAATTAACTTTAATAATATAATTCCTGCAAGGTCCCACTATAATCGCTTGGTGTATACAATACATGTATAATTAAGATTGGAAAGACAGTCGACTGAGTGAGTTTGCCCTAAATCCACAACCAGACAAGGAACAAGAAATAAGGCGGAATCACTCACTCTATGCCTACAAATCTTAATTATAAATGACCCTAATGTATACACTAAGCCATCATAGCTTACCCGCAAGTGTTCTTAGTTTTTATATGAACGATGTGTTAACTTATGATTTTTAATTTTAATTGTCAAATATTTTTCTTGAAAATTCGATGTTTAATTATTGTTGTTTAGAAAACGTACCAAAATCCTAGAAGGTTCCTTGTTGCTCCTTTATGTCCTATCATTAAACTCCTCCCGCTCCTCCGTCATTCTTCTCTGTTGGACAATCTCTTTTGAAATGTCCCATTTCACCACATAAATTGCATATTGGACTTACTCCAACGTTGGTGGTTGAAGTGAGGTGTTCCACTAGAGTCCTACAGAAGCGGGCAGTGTGCCCTTTGATGTTGCACCTTTTGCAATGCAACTCCCGACAAACTCCATAATGATGGTAGTTGCACTTGCTGTAGTGTGGGAGGTTTCCTAAATACGGTGTTGTTGGTGTTAGGGTAGTATGGTTGGTGGGAGTATGGACTGTTCCAGCTTGTTGCTTTTTGGTAGGTCTTTGTGTTGAACTACTTCCTTTTTCGTTTTAGAACTTTCGTTTCATGTTTTCAGGTTTGTGGGTTGGGATATTCTTGTCGGTAGATATTCGTTGGTTTCCTAGGTTGTTATTACGGTTTGAATTGTCTACACCATTTCCATTTTCACTAGCATTATTTGCATTGAAATATGCCATGACGGCTGTCACGGCGGCTGTAACCGCAGCTTGAAATATGCCATGACGGCTGATACGGGGGCAGATGCTACTTTCAGTGTTACAGTTGGTCCTAACGCCTCTCCAATTTCACCTTTGAGGGAAGATGATCCAGATGTTATGTATGGAGATGATCAGGACGATATTAAGAATTTTGTCTTTAGTCCATTTACTGTCCGCCCAACAAGCGATGGTGATGAAGCCCTTATGACGTAAGGTCAGTTCAAACAACTCAATTCCAAATTAGATTAGCTTTTGGAGTCCTCTGTTTCCTCTTCTAATTATGAGTTTATGCTCAAATCTCATTGAGCAACGGTTGAAAAGCTCACCAAAGAAAATGCAAAAGTCCTTGAAGACTCAACTAAGGAAATCATGGCATCTGAAAAGTCGAAAAACTACAATCTGAAGTCACATAGTTCATGGAAGATTTCTGAACCTCTGCTGAAAAGAACACCGAAGAACCAAAAAGGTCATTACGAGTCTTGGCAAAACTCTACAAAATGAAAGAAAAGCCTTTTCTCGTGTTCGTGGTGAACTATAAACCGATTCCGCTGAAATGGTTGCTTCTGTTGTCTCCAAGATAGAGCAGCTTCAGACAGATCTTGCTACTGAAAATACACTCATGGATACGCTGGCTCAGAAAACTAAAAAAAGTTAAGGTTCTCTCTGCCAAGCTCAGTTACACAACCAAATGTCCGGATCACATGGAATCAGAGAAAGCTGTATTCCGGAGCTGTGTCTCCGATATAAATCAGTACATGAACAATCTTATTGAAACTCGTTACTCAATGCTTACGGTTTCATTTCGCCAACACCTCTTGGAAAAAACTCAAGCCTGTTTTCGCCATGCTCAATCAACTACAGGGTGTTTCGGAAAGCAGTGCTATTCCGAAACAAGGGGGAGAAGATGTTAAGGAAAAAGCACAACCTAAGCCTCAGGTTATGAAGCCTACTGATGAGCAACATGAGGATAAGCCAAAGATAGATGCGAAGGTTAATGAAGCTTCGGGATCTATAGGAAAAGAAAAGCTGTTAGATGATGATGATAAAGTTGAAGAAGAATTGTCTGAAGGTGAAAAGCTGATAAGAAAGAAACTTGGCAAGGTTGTCACACCCCCAAACCGGAACGACTAAACGTCCGGGGGTGGATGACTTCATGATAAGTATCACGACACATGCATCATAGTAATCAAAGTAACAACAACCATCGTATTGAAAGTATAATATTTACATTGTGTTCAAAACATTACTTGAATAACATTAAAAGTACAACAAAAGTTAAGACGTAAAGCTCCGTCTTCACAATACCTGAGAGGTACATGTCTACTAACGTTCCTAAGACTACAAGTGGTTTGAAAAAGTGTCAACATTAAAGTTGGTGAGTTCATAGGTATTTTTGTTATAAAAAGTATACTCTTAGTTCTTTGGAAAAGTTCGCATGTTCCTCCAGAAAATCCTATATTTTCTTAATAAGTAATATGACTGTAGTTATTTAGTAAATACAAATTATATATAATACAGATCGTTTAGACAATTGAATGTGTGAATCTTCCCTAAGCCCACAACCAAAAAAGGAACAAGAAATGAGGTGGAAGTCACACATTCCACTGTCTACCGGATCTTTATTATATATAATCCTAATGTATTCATCAAGTAATCACATAATTAACATTAATGATTCTCTAGTAGAATGGTAACCACAATAGTTCCTTCTATAATCACTTAGTTTTAACTAACTATATATAACCTAATATCGAACGGACAATTGAATGTATGAATCTGCCCTAAGCCCACAACCAAACAAGGCACAGGAAGTAAGGCGGAAGTCACACATTCCACTGCCTATCAGATATTATTTATATATAATTTTGATGTATAAACTAAGTAATTATAGAATTAACCATTAAAGGTCCTTTATGTTATACTAGTTTGATAATAAGTATTAAACCTTTTGTAAATAAGTTCCTAGTTCCACTTACTCTATTGTAAAACATTGTTTTCAGTGATAATTGTTATTGTTTTCAGAAAGTTCTATCGAAAACTGTTTACCTTTAATATAACGATGTTTACCATAGAAAATCCTATATTTTCTATAAAACCGATTTATAGTCTTAATCGTTCCAAGATCAAAAAGCACAAGTATAATTACTATACTTACTTTAAAGATATCTAATTTTGTTTATAAGTTAAACTGGCTGAAGACTTGTTTGCCCTGAAAACCTGATGCGACGATACTACCCTCCTATGATCACTTAATACATACGAGTTGTATATAACCGAGATCGTACAGAAAGTTGAATGGGTGAATCTGTCCTAAGCCCACAACCAAACAAGGAACAGGAAGTAAGGCGGAAGTCACACATTTTACTGTCTACCGGACTTCAATTTTATCTAACCCTATTGTATATGTTGAGTAATCACATAGTTAGTATCTCTTGAGATTGTTTAAGAAAAAGTATATTACTATGTAAATATGTCGTTATTTTCTCCTTGTGAGTTCTTATGACCATACTAATTGATACGACGTGAATCAGATGCCAATATCGTTTATGAAGTTTGTCAGCCGCAGACTTGCCAGTCCAACTGGAGCTAACAGTAGAGGTGAGAGATTGTCGGTCCCATATAGATCTATACACAAACTCACGCTCTCCTTCCAGGAGACTCTGGTTCATAAAGGTCGACTTCCACTGGTACTTAGGTAAGTACACGAAGACATGTCTCTCAAACTAGATCAACGACTTGACAAGTAATAATGCGAAAACCTTTTTATAAATAACTGGTAATTTTGTAAAAAGATCTCTTTGTTCCATAAACTATACTTATCATAGTTTATAAGTTTATTTCCATGTTTTAACCTGGACTTTGTAAAATAGTTCATATGATCAACAAACTATACCTATTATAGTTTATAAGTTTATTTCCATGTTTTAACAGGTTTCACGTTTAAATACATATTGATGGTAAGAAAAACATAATAAGTAAATTATATTTTAAAACACAAAATTTCTTATGTTTTACTTGTATTCTCCCACTAAAAACATTGAAAAAGCTTGGGAAAATATGGGGGTATGAACTCACCTTATGTAAGTGATTCGATTAAAGGCTCAATATAGGATGTTATTTCCACAAGTTAGATCCCGTAACAAAATCGAGTCCTAATTAGCATTTTATGTGATATATATGTATACAATTAGTGTATATAAACATAAGAATGATAAGGAATTAGACTAATTTGTAACTTCAACTTACAAATAAGAGTGTTAGAAGCAAAATGGAAGGCTGCAAGGGGTTTACGGCTAGCCTGGGCATTCACGGCCCAAGAAGACCTTGGCGTTCTTGGGTTTACGCTTGAGTGTTCTTGATGAAATGAAGAACACTTGAAGATTCAAGTGTTTTCGGCTCAAAGATATGAAGATTGGAAGGTGATCGCTTGATAAAGTGAATAACACTTGGTGTTCTTGGCAAGATCCTAAGAAGATTCAAAGGATTTGGATGATACTTGAGAGAGAACAAATGGTTTTCGGTTGATGATATTGAGAGAAAAGCTTGAGTTTTCGGCTAAGAAGTGTAGAATGAAGAAATAATCAGTCAAACATATATATATATATATATATATATATATATATATATATATATATATATATATATATATATATATATATATACACATAGGAGTTTTCGGCTGTAAACACTTCCTGAGCAGATAAGATCCTTGGGTTTGCGGCTGCGAAGGGAGTTCACGACTGCGAGGAGTTCACGGCTACGAACTGTTTGTGGCCCTCTTCGGTTTGCGGCTGCCTTCGTTTGCGGCCTGAAGAGAAGAAAAGAAAAAGAAGAAGCAGCGAGGGTTTGCGGCCACGTAGGTCTTCGGTTTTTACATGTTTCTACTTCTTAATTTAAACAACACTTTTACTAAGTGTTTAAATGTATCAAAACATTAATTTAACTTTAATAAACTAACAAATCAATAAATTTGTCTTTAATTTGATATGTTTGACTTGAGTTGACTTTTATTGACTTTTACACAATAAAATATAACGGGGTGTCACAAAGGTGCTTGATGATCTTTTGTTTCTTCGCCAAGAATTAGAAGCTAAAGAAGCTGAAGCTGAAGTTGCAAAAGTCACTCTTGTACCTCAGCATACCCTCTTTCCTCCATGGACCTTGAGTGAATTCAGAAGGAAGCAATCGATGATCCGAGCGCTCATTGGTTAGAGCCGTCGGTATCTTTTGAGCTAGATAATACCGCTGATTCTCAGCTTGACTTCCCACTCACTCCGAGAGCTTTCCTATTCTGAGGATTTGCTCATATTGATAAGTCTCCTCGTTCGGATTATGATGTTAACAACATTCTTTTCAATTTTTATCTCAAGTATGGTCAACCTTAGTACAAGATTTGGAACTTGAAGAAGCTTGTTTTTATGAAAGTCTATGCTCCTTTTCCCACTGAACACTTCACAAACGTCAAGTTTAAAGGTTTTCGTGGAGCAACTCGCACCGAAGAGGACTTCACACTTGCTGATACGCCCTGCATGAATCCGAATGATTGGATTTCATTATTTCTGATTTTGTCAAAAGATAAAGTGAAATTTGAGCCGATTGTTTCTCACCTGAAAAGAATGTTGATTTGCTACATTCACGAAGTAGCGACACTGGATGTGGAAATCGCTTCAGTATTGAAGAAAATGCATGTTGTGGATCTGAAAGAAGAAACAACTGACTTTCAGAAGAGAAGGTTGGGTAAGATAAAGAAAAAGGATTGGAGTGTGGTCTATCAGAGAAGGGAAGGTGATACAGTTAAGAAGAGTTTGTTATTTTTTTAGACAAACATTTTTACTCTACTACCGCATTGACCCATATCATGGAATTAACCGTAGCATGAAAACTAGACAGTGAAGGAGATATGAATGCTTCAGAGACATGATCAAGTGGTACATTGTCATTCGGAACAAACTTCTGAGTTTGATGGCCAGGCTGTTTAAAGTCCATAAGGTTGAACAATGAAGAATCTCCTTTCTTTATTTGACACAAAGCGGAGATTGTTGGGTTATTTAATGTATTGTGTCAAATTTATTATGTATGTATTTAGTCTTTTATTGACGGATTGGGCTTGTCCATCCGTGATTATGATGCTAGGGTTAGACTAATTATAGTGCATGCATGTATTGTTTTAGGGTTAACAAGGTGTGTTTCCCTACATTGCTTTTACAGAAAAGTTCTCGTCGAACTCTTCTAAAGCTTTGATTATATAAAGCATTCGACACATCTTTGATCATTGTTCTTATAGTTTGATTCACTTTACTGTTACTGAATCTATCGATCTTTACATTATTGTTTCAACAGCGTCCCTAGTTCCAATTCAGAATGCTTTGCCACGAGCATTAGCTCCCTCGTTCCTCCATTTTGGACATTCCCTCCCGAAGTGTCCAACTTCTCCAAACTCGTAACGTGTTCTTCCTCTACTAGAGCCTGTTCTTGTGTTTTTTCCCTAACTTACTATTGCAGGTGTCATGCTTCCATAGTATTTGGCAGTGTGCCCCTTCTTTTTACACTTCGTGCAAACAACACAGTCACCTAAGTGATGACGGTTGAACCGATTACACCATGGATGCTTTCCTTCATATTGATTTGGTGGCGTGAGTGTTGCCGTTGTTGTTGTAGCGGCATAAACAGTTGCCACTTCTTGTGTCTTTCCGAATGATTGTCTTGGGTTTCTTCCATTAAACTTACGCTTTTATACTCCGGATTTGGGAGGCTAAACTTTCACTACCATGGATCCCCTTAGGATCTCTGTGTTGGTTAGACGATAGGTTATGCGTTTTGTATTGTCATAGGTTATGGGTTTTGAAGCGATAACCATTACTTGGATCTATGATGCTAGACCCCATATGTATCACTCAATTTTCTTGTATTCAGGGGTTACAAGTGTCGAACACATCACATCAACGTCATCGAACCTAGCGGTATAAGCATTTATCTCTGAACCCTTCATTGTTAGGTTCCATAGTTCTTGTTCCAAGTTCCGCACCTCATTTCTAAGATAGTACTCTTCTATTACCATCATCTTTAGATCCTCCCCATTCATGGAGTTTGCAATACTGATGCCCATTGTCTTTGCATGGTTGTTTTACGAT